AGAGAGAGAGAGAGAGACAGAGACAGGGACAGAGTTAGAGTGAGACAGACAGAGACAGAGACAGAGTCAGAGGGAGAGAGAAAGAGGATTACTATAGACTATAGGAGTTGTGCACTGCATATGTTCTTTGTATTATTGTACAGCGCATTGAGCACTTCTTTGTGGAAATGCGATATATAAATGCAATTTATTATTGTTATTATGTTTTCAAAACAGAGTTCATCGTGTAGATCTGACGGCGCGGGTTGGGGAGCGGTCACGAAGTGCAAGACTGGCAGTTTATTTTGTTTGTTTGTTTGTTTGTTTGTTAGGTTTTTAAAAGTAAAGACAAGCACATCGACACAATAACGGTCATTAGTACTGGGAAGACGTTAGATAGTAGAAAACAAGAATCAACAGAGGAAAAATAAAGAAGTTTAGTTTTAGTAAGTGTTTTACGGCATTTGCAACACAAAAAGGTCATATAAGTGCCGAAGATTACAGGTGTTACAAGAGAGTAACAAACACAAAAGAGAAGGAGGGGAGATAGATAAAGACGATAGACGTTTGATAGGAAAGAAGAAGCAAACCACACCAGAGCACCCGCCAACCGCCCACTTTGTCTTGGTCGTTTGTTTGTTTGTTGGGGTTTTTTTTTAAAGGAAAGACCAACAGATCGACACAATAACGGTCATTTAGTAGTGGGAAGAAGTAAGATAGTAGAAAACCAGAAACAACAGGCAAAAAAAATAAAGACGTATACAGGAGGAAAAACAACAAAGGAACCACAATTGGGGAAAAAAACACCCCACAGTGGCATTCTACAATTCGTAGTCTTCCAATGTGAAATGAGAGCCCTGGGTCAGCCTGATTAGAGTAGACGGAAATGTTTTGTTTTTGTGAGAGTTGTACGGTGCTGGCAACTATATAATATGGTCATATGTGCGCGCGAAGCACTGGTTGCATTCATAAAGTTCACAGCTCGGCTTGAATTTGTTCAATGGTCAGGTAAAAAAAACGTAAGCCTTAAAAACATTTTAGACTCCTTTAAAATAACAATATTTACATTTTCGTGTAAAGACCAATGGCCTTTATAAAACCGAGATTTCTATTGGGACCAAAGACGGAGTACAGATCTTTAAAATATGTAATTTAAAATAATATCCTTTGGGTCTCTCCAAAGTCAGGATTTTTTATTAGTATGTATTTTGTGGTAAAATCTGTACCGCATCAGAAACAGAAGGGTTTCTCATCTCCCGCCAGGAGGTATATGGCGCCAGGGACGCTTGTCCAATATGCAATCAAGTAAAAACAACTTCATCTCCTCTGGAGAGGCCTGAAGGTTTTCGTGGGCCCAGTGTAGGCCTAGCACTGTGGAGCTGGTTATTTTGTAGTTCAATCCATTGTTTCTTCAACAGACTGGAGTAAACGGACTGACGAGCCTTAATGCATGTATGGATTTAACAGTATGTTTTCTTTCGCTGCAGATGAGAGTCAAAGCAAATACTGGAGGGTGGTTGATGAGCACAGCAAAACCATAGAGGAAGTTCAGTAGTCAATCGGTTTTGTTAGTTTTGAGTAAAGAGCATATCGACATATCAGAGGCCACCAAGTACCGGGGAAAAGGAAGACAGAGAGAAACAACAAACACACACACACACACACACACACACACACACACACACACACA